ACCAAAAGAAATTAAGCTTATTAAGTGTAATGCAGAAAATGAAAAGGCATAAGGACAATGAAATAAAAACCACTACATTGAGTAAGAAAGGAGCAAAGCATCAAAACCAAAAATAACACTTGGCTACTTCCACACAGGACGGGAGTAAGAAGAGAAAGCATCTTTGTCTTGCATTATTATTGATGCACTTGCAAATAACCAAGAGTATGTACATAACGAAAATATTTGGAATACATAAGGCAAATAAGAACTATCTAGGCCATGGCTCCTTCCTGTAAAGCGGTGTAATCATATCTATTTTTCTGGCCATTTCACAATCGTAGATTCTTTTGCATCTTTCATACATGAAGCGCCTACGCCATCTTTTCGGCTTCTCAAAGCGTTCACGGCGAGTAATATCTGAGGCTACTTTATCTCTAACCAATACTCTGGAAATAAGCTTTGAAACCATTACTTTTGGAGGTGATTGAAGGCGAGATTGATATCATTATTCGGGACTAAGAAAGTTTTCTGGAGGAAGCAATAGTTGCGAAAATAAATCTGGAGATTTTTAGCACTCGACATCGAGCGGAATTAGAAAGGGCCGGGGATTTAAAACGCAATTATTTAGGAAGGGTTTATTTTGTCATTTCAAAACCATAATTTCTAATAAATCAACAGTATCTTATATTTCATAATACATATTCATGAGAAAATTATTACTAAGAATCCATGTTATTAAATTAAGCTAGATTAAATTCAGAATTACAATTATATTTTAAGTAATTTTTAAATAGTAATTTACGGTTTCCTCAATATTATTTGCGTTGACAATGTGTACAAGTTTCTCAATATGTATTGAAGTTATTTTCATACTTACAACTGAGCCCTAAGCCAAACGACATTTTGGCCTAGAAAAAAAATTGGATGGGCTAATTGTCTATTTTATTTATTTGTCATGCTATCTAGCACACAAGCATTTTCCTATGCCATTACATCAACACTCCTAAAAACTAATACATCTTGGCAAACTTTTGAATAATATAGACAATTACTAGAAAAGATAATGTATTTTGTAAATCATTATTCTAAAACAAATAAATTTATTTAGAGATTATCTGGTAACAACCTCTTTGATTTGTGCTTTTAATGCGATATAAAAGGTAAGACTTATCACATACTTCATCATATACATTTGCCTAGGAGTTCTGCTAATCTATTTGAGTATGATATATAATCACCAAACCCTGAAGCATCCATGTTGAATTTCGACATTCAGAGTTAGATAACTTTGCTTTGTAAGATAGTAATAGAAACGTTCATAATATCAGCATGTACAAAAATATTAGCTGCGAATCCAATCATTTATGGAGGACGAACAAATCAAGCATTGATACTGTTCAAATAATGAAGCATAGAGTTATAATACCGTAATAATAATATTTTGGTAGGGCATAAATTTTTATGCTAGGTACTATTATATAGCTTTTGAGAGTCTATTTCTTTGCGCTTCACATGATGGATTACGATTCCTATTTAAGCAAAAATAATATGTTGGATAAACCTATTCCCAGACAATTAGACTTAAACTATCCATGGG